TGCTGCATTATATCGTGCCCGTTGCGTTGCCTCCCGTGAGTGACGGGTTTCATTGCAGGTTTGGAAATTGTCATGGGGAAAACACAGATTTCAACCCATTAACACCCGGCGTGTCTTCGGTATGTTTTGAAACGAACAAATGGACATTAATGAAATAAATACATAGAGTCAAATTGCACTAACAAATTTTGTCACCTTGCAATAAGGAAAATGTAGTCTGATACAAAAAGACATCAACGGCTACTGTTTTCGCATTGTGGCCCGCCCGCGATTAGAAGAAGAAACTGCCTGATTTGATTGGATGGCATCATCAAAAAGATCTTTCTTTGTAGTTTGTCAATGCCAAAGCACGCACGTCCACCGTTACCATACAAGTAATCGAATCGATCAGAACTTGGGCTGAGATGTGAGTGTATTTCAGAATCCTACTATATATAATCCGCTAAGTTTGCCTGTTAGTGTGTGTGTAAATGTTTGTCTGTATGTGTGTTGACCGGAAGTTCATAAGTTCCTTCAAAACAGCGATAGTGCGCTCAAACTGACAAGTAATGTAGGGGGTTGTGCAGGAACACTATTGGTAGGAGACAGGAAGTAATGAGAGCTGGGAAGATACCGTGGAGTTCGTACCGTGAAGTACCGAATAGGATAGAAATAGTAGAATTATGGCTGTTTGAAATATGAAAACTCGTAGGTGGTACTAAAATTCGACAACGGCGTCACAGGGGTCATCAAAGTTTTCGGCACAGTCGATCAACAGGGCTTCACAACTTGCTACCCAACCCCCCCCTCTTCGCAAGTTCCTACCTGAAGGAGGTTATGAATTTTCAAGAAAATATGCTTCTGAAGTTCCTGGCCCATTTTGCAAGGTATCGCAAAACAGCGTGCTCCAGCGCATGCTGAATGCGCGCGAGCGCTCAAAGTTCAAGTATCCGATTCGATATCATCACAGCAGTAGCCTGCCTGCAGCAAGTAATTGGGAAAACGATAAAGTGATACGGCATGTCGAGTCACCTAACTAGGAATTATTAACTAGTTCGTTCGTGCTCCGCAACGTGGGCTTCTCGACCTGCCCCACGGTAATGTTCATGAGGGCTCCTAGCTTCGCCATCTGACACTTCATAGATGCACTCTGAGGGGTCGGCACGGTAGTTTGGTTCTCTGCAGAAACTTTGTCGTACTCTGTAGTACGACAGCAAGACAAAAACGGGACGGAATGATCGGAGACTCCCATGGGGCTCCCCGCTCCATTCAGGAAGTCTACACCTTAGATTAATCATCGATGGTGAAACAGCAATGGAACGAAAATGAGGAAAACTGCACAGGAAATGCGAAAACTCGTTCTTTCGAGCAGTGGCAATCTGCACAAAAAATATCAAAGGATCTTCAACAGGAGCTGGGGCGTTCCAATGACATTTCCACGAAGCTGTTGTTGAAGATTAGCAGAAATCGAAGTGAAAAAAGATCAAAAGAGACACTGCTCACAAAAAAGTCTCGCACACGTCCAAGAAAGATGTCATTGTCACTGTGATTGCCATTGTCATGTCATGGCATTTTCGTCACCAGTAAGAACTAGCTAAGACTCTCCAGAAGAAACCCTAAAGAAGGTAAAGAAGTGCCATTCAGCCGATGATTGTGGGTGAAAGCAGCTGATACGATCCTGATCAACTGCTGGCTGGTGCATTCATTTGTGGGCTAGTTGTTGTTAGAGTGTGGATTGGTATGGTAAGCCTTGCTAGGATACTCAATAACCGCTTCTCCTTGGAAAGTACATCGTGTGAAGGTTTATCAGTGGCGCGGAACTCTTTGTTGATCGGAGTGTTCATCCTATGCGTAGGACGTTTTTCACGCCGTTTGCCTTCCAAACTCACCGCTCGGTCTGGAACGGTAGTGAAGAACTTCTGCATTGCAATTTCATGAAACAGTCGCCCTTCATAGAAAACTTCTGTCAGATCCGAGTAGTAGTCAAGTATCGTGCTCGGGATGTAGTATCTGCAATGTCATAGGAAAGTCTTTGTCTTGTGTGATAAATCGCTTCACTTCTGAATATTTGACTGGATACAACATGATTTCGTAGCGCTGCTCAGGATGACATTCTGCTCTTTCGCTAGTTCCTTTTGCTAGTTCATATATCTAACGAGCCTCACCTGTAAACGCTTGTAAACTTTTGTGAGACAGCAAAATTACAAGTGGTCATCATTGGTTACATGTTTGACAGGTCTCCACAAGGTTACCTGTGAAGGTTTTGCTGGGTACCGATTAGTGTTTCCCCTCCCCCCCCCCATCAAGCTAGCTCGCGCCAGTCTTCTTTTTTCGAAATTTCATTAGAAGCTTCGGTCTACATCCTAGATCACTCTCTGGGCAGTTCACCACCAAAATCACTTTCTTATTTGACGAAAAACCAAGCTTTACAGAACGGAGCATGAGTGATTTGTTTTGTTGAAGAGCAAAATTCACGCTGGTTGCTGGCAAAGAGATAGGCAGGGACACCCAATCACACTAGAGTGCGCAACAAAAGTATGCGGACACCCCAGAATTTTACTGTACATGAGCATCTTGCATCTTTGATGCTCATGTGGGACCTTTGCTATTCAATTCCTCGGATATGAAGCGCCCCTTGTTTATAAAGTTAGCCGCAGTCATAAGCCTGGTGATACAATGTCTGAAGCCAAACAATCAGCATGGACTGCCTTCTACTGTTCTCCATGATGTAACTGTTATAGCGAGGACGCTGAGTCACTGGCAAATCCAGGAGTGCTGAGGCAAGGCACTTTGCCCATGGCTCCATGGCCTTGTAATACAAATGAACCGAAACTCATTGGAAATGCGCTTTAGGGCCGCTCATCAGAGGGCGTCTTGGGTTGAATCCTGTCGAGGCGGTTTTGAGTGCGGCTTATCACTTCTTTCCTTTTGTTGGTCTCGGCTTCGCTTCTATTCTTTCGTTGGTCTACGCTCCTGCTTCTATTCTTTCGTTAGTCTCCGCTTCCAAATATTAGGTTGGACGGGAATCCCTGCGACACCTTGACCAAATTTTCGGACCGATTTTGTCTCCTTTGAAAGACACCTCCAATCTACAAGGTAACCATAGTTGATGACTAGGACTAGTGCCCTTCTTTTGCACAGCTTCTCATTTCCATTCTCATAGAACTACGGCAACTATGATAAAAAGAAGAGGTGGACCTCATTTTCGAGTAGACGTCGATTTTCGGATTTTTTGCTTGGTAAGGAAGCGGTAGAGGATCAGTGGAGGTGGTAATTAGAGTGCTAACTTTGATGAATAAGCTGGGTACGGTCGCATTCTCTGATCGAGAATCCATGATCTTTTGGCGTAGCCTGATCCCCACATGCGGTCTTCGCATTGCCGAGTAGTAGAGAAAAATTGAGTATTTCTGAATGAATTCAAGCGTGACGTCATCCATGTTTCAAAGTTGATGTGGATTGTGGTCCTTACAGCTGTGCTAGTATCCAGCGAGATCGCTTTGAAGTCCCATCAATATTACTGTGAGATCTTTATCCCATCCCATGCACGTCTGCTTTCTGCTAAGCAATCTACTTTTCTCCTTGAGAAATCATGCGAGGGAATGTGTGTGCACAGTTTAGGCAAGGACTCCAACACTTGCTACCAACCACAAGATCTCACAAATGTTCTTTCGCTGTGTACAAGGAAAAGAAAACTCAGTCACGGTCATTCGGTATGACTTGTCAGACGGGTCCAACTCATGAGGCATCCTTCACAAAAAATTTTTCCGATAACCGAGATTGCGGAGAAGCATGGCAGTTATCAGTTAGGTGGGTGGTTGCCAACTTACTGGTGGTTACGTTCGGCTGCGCCTCAAGAAGCTTGAGTAAACGGCCGTCATTCTGTGCTGGTGGCCGACCTATACATTGCCTACCTCCGAATTGAAATAAGTCCAGCTTGGAAGCGCTGATGCAAAAGCTACGTTTGCCTCTGGCAAGCGATATCCTTCCTCAAGACAACGTAGTGTTAGCTTCCTCGACTACGGCTGAGTGGCCCTACAGGAACTCATAATATGGGATAGGTCGAAAAGTACCTCGATTTCTGAGGGACTTGAGAACTTCCTTAAAGTCATGATATACCCATTGCAGAAACCCCAGAGGACAGTCTCCACTAATCAGGGATGAAAACATTCGAAATGTTTTTTGGTCTTTTTCTAGAACAATTCAATCAAAGTGTCGCAGGACTCTCCGTCCAACCTAATAGATGTAGAACGTCAGTCAGAACGTTCATCTCAGAAAGGGGTTTATCGATGGCAACAGCCGAATCCTCCGAGGTACATGAACACGGAGTAAGCTTAAAATTATTAACACTCACAGATCGCTCACAGTCCAGCCGTTGTTGAACGTTAGTGCAGCAGAAGCGTTGTACTCGGATCCCATTGCTTTTTGAAACTGAATTAGCAAAAGTTGAGCGATGGGCAAACTTGATTCCTGGGAACATTCTTAAGGGAGCATCTTCTGTTTAGCCACCATAAAAAGTGTTGGCGGATAGTGACTCGTGCGGTTGTGTTCCTAGCCACAGATGATCTGCTCCTTTCGTAGCTCACTACTGTGCAGCAAATGTGCTGCAGGG